CTTTGGTATTTTTTTTTTTTTTTTTTGAAACTTATCTTTTTTTATAAAAAAGAAAAAAATTGTCAATACAGGATCTGCGAAGAAAGGATTTAAGGATCTCTCGAAGTATCGTGCTCTAGCGCCGCTGGCGCCGTTTGATGCTGCAATAACTCGCATTGTATAGTAGGAATCTAACCTGGCGGGCTGCGGGTCATCCAGTGAGACAAGAAGAAAGAGAGGAAGCATAAAAAAAAAAAAACAAATGGTTGAAAGGGAGATAGCATAGAAGGGACATTATGCCTGCTTTCTATGAGTAGGTTCCGCATAATCGAACCGCGGCAGCGTCGTCACGAGTTTCACGTGGAGAACAAGACCCGCTGGATACTGTTTTCTCTTTGTACTTCCTTTTTTTTATATCGGAATCCTTTTTCTCTTCTTTGCGATCTGGCAAAAAAAGAAAAGAATTCGATATACATTTTTTTAATAACCGATTTTAATACATTTTTTGTCCTAAAGAGATTTGATTATTTAATAAATAATTCTTTCTAATATGGCTAGGGCGAGATATATATTTATATATTTAATGGATGAAAAAAAAAACGTTTCATGGATCAGGAAAGTCAATATAGTGGGGTAACTGTGAGGTATACAGTGTGAGGGGGATCTCCAAGTTAAATGTATGCTGGCTTGACGATCCATTAACCGAATCCAATGAGCGTCCTCTAATTAAGGCTATTTATCGGAAAACGAAACAATCCCCCTCTCTTCTTTTTCATTCACCACCCCAATATATATACAGACACCTTCAGAGGACTGATGAGCACTGCCTCGGGAAAGAGTTTGCTCGATTAAAAGGAGAGGATGAGGAGGGGGGGGGTATGGAAAAAGAAAACAAAGTATAAACCGATTATCTGCCACGACGAAGAGAGACGAACGTGTCAGTTACGTTAATTTCCCTTTGGAAAAATCAGCTTTGAATTACTCATTATCTCGCTCTCTGGATTTATTTAATTGAGACAAAAAAAAAAAAAAATTCTATGGATTTGATTTATTTAATTTATATTACAATTGACTAAGGTCAAAAATTTTACAATATTAAAAATTCTCTTTTCTTCTGGAATTATTTTTTATTGTTAAAAAAAATTTAAAGGAAACAAATTTTTTTGTTTTTATTAAAACTTTGGTGTTCTATACTCATCCTTCATCTGTATTCAATAAAAATAAAAATTAACGCGCGTGTTGCCATGACAACATGTGAGTTAGAAAAGGACAAAAAAGTGTAGGCATATCTGGCCACGAATGTACATAACCTAAAAATGTTATTAGGCTCATTCCACATCGCATTTTTAGTACAGAGTGATGCATCCGCACCCATTGCCAACTGTCGAAAAAAAAGGTTCTCGTCAACTACCGCACCCTGTTCTAGTGAAAAAATGACTTTATTGTTAAAATTAAGAGTTACTAAGTCACTAAATTTTTACTAGAGCAGGGTGCGGTAGTTGACGAGAATTATGACAAATGGCGAGTGTGGACAGTGAAAACCAACCCTTATAACGTAACCAGGGATGGGTAAGTAAAATACCTAAGATAATCGAACATTGCAACATAACCTCAAAACGAGAACAAAAAAGTAACCTACGCAACAATATTAAAGGCCTGAGTATAATAGAAACTTAACCGGAATCGTAATCGCAAACGCAACCGGAAGAATGAGTTAGAGAAGGATAGATAGATTATTTGTCCTTCTCTAACTTATTCTTCCGGTTGCATTTACGATTACGATTCCGGTTACGTTTCTATTCTGCGTTGGCCTTAAAGGCCCGTTCATATTTGTAGAATTATTTTAAAGCCCATTTCACATTCCTTTTGGGAATTTAATTTTGTTAGAAGGATCAATTTTAAAAAAGAGAATATATATATAAGGAAAGGGAATTAGGACCAAATAAAATTACTTTTTCACAGAGTGTATATGTATAAGAGGGAGAAAGATAAAAGAATGCCTCGTTGGACTAATATAAGAGGGATCTACAAACTATACGTATAAAGGTCTAACTCTATCCAATTCGAAGACTGCGAACTCAAGTCAGCCTCTCTGGAGAGAGATGAAATGAATCTTTCTGCCGCAAGACGCTCGAGAAATTTCCACAGTCAGAACGAAGGATGTTGACTCTCTCTCTCTCTCTCTCTCTCTCTCTTTATTCTGCTTGGCAACTTTTATGGAGATGCCTAATATATCCGCTCCGGTTGCTCGCGCTTGTGTTTGACGAGCGTACCTCGCGAAGTATATTATCTCTGCCGAGACCTCATCCTTCTTCTCATCGTCCTTTCTCAATCTTCCCCCAGCCTCCTCAAGAATCACTCGAATGCGATTTCCGGTGAGAATAGTGAGAGGAATGAATTATGCGTCTCTGGAACCCAAAAGAAAAAGAAAAAATTAGAAGAAAACGATCTTCTTTTTTTTTTGCGAAGGATTGTTAATTCGACAAGGATAGATCGAATTGGAAATTTTATTGCAATTGGAATAGTTTATTTAGAAAAATTGGTAAAACAACTTTTACCATCAGGAAAAACAAATTCTTATTTTAAATATAGTTAGATCTATTTGAACAATTTTGTTTTATTTAATAGTTTATTAGTTTTATTTTAATATATGGGAAAATATACATCAAAATATTATTTGTTTGAATGAAAATTATAATATTGATCTTTGATTTAAACTTAAGGATTAGTTTAGAATCAACGCATGTAAGTTTCGAATGAAATTCTAGTGAAAATTTTTTCACCCTGTTTTTCTCTATTCTAGTTCCGGTTGGTTTTCATTGCCCCCACTCGCCAAAATCCCGACTTATCATTTGTTATAATTCTCGTCAACTACCGCACCCTGCTCTAGTGAAAATTTAGTAACTTTAATAAGATTGTTTTTGGATTGGGATTTTTAGCGGCATTAGTTAACCTTAGCCTTAAGGCGCATATACATATCTCACAAATTCTTAGTATCCTCGGAATTTGTCAGAAGTTTCACTAACTTTGATTGGCTTTGCTCATACAGAATTTCGAAATTTTCCTATCTTTTGGAAATTCTCTCTATGAGCAAATCCAATCAAAATTAGTATAATTTTTGACAAATTCCGAGTATACTTAGAATTAGTCATTTTACCTTGTGACGTCAGAGGCTGATGACGTCGAAGCTTGGAGGGACAACAAACAAAAAAAACAATAAAGAACTGTCAAACAAGTGATTTTGAGGTTAAGTTTTTGAAGTTTTCAACGTTACCAACTGTAGATGGACTATAGTAAAATTATTTGTTGTCCCTTCAAGCTTCCAGCTGATCATGCAGCCATATTTAAAAGTGAAATACCTAATTTGTGAGGTATACAAGCGCCTTTAGTTTTAAAAATAAAGTCACTAAATTTTTACTAGAGCAGAGTGCGGTAGTTGAATAAAATTATGACAAATACCAAATGGGAACAGTGGAAAACAACCTTCCCCGCGATGTATCGAAAAAAGCTACCATTCCCTGCAAAGTGTCACAATTCGGATGTTTCACTGATTATTATATACTGTCAATAAAGGCCTGAGCATGAATAGAAACGTAACCGAAGGAGAAGGATAGACATATTGTTTGTCCTTCTCCAACTCATTATTCCGGTTGCGTTTGCGGTTACGATTCCAGTTATGTTTCTATTCTGCTCAGGCCTTAAGATTTTGGCATGATACTTAACTTAAAATAGATTAATTTAATAAAACTTCCATTTTTTATATGTAAAGCATTCTTTTTATTTTTATCAAAAGTTATAGTTTATGTATTATTTATTATTCCACATATTTTATCAACAAAATATGATTGAACTAAAAATATTTCTCTTTAAACAATTTTTTTCTTTAACAAAATTCTCATTTGATTGAATTTTAATTTATCATAATTCTCATTTTAATTTTAATACAAAATATTTAAATGTCAGCATTTTCAAATCGCCGAATTTTTCGCATTTATCCAAATATTTGTTTGTACGAATTTTTAAATCTCAGCATTTTAAAATCACCGAATTTTCATTTCTCCAAATTTATTATTATTTATTATTCGAATAAATAAAAATTCGATGGATTGAAATTTTTGCCATTTAAAAATTCGGACAACTGAAAATTCGGTGATTTGAAAATGTTGAAATTTAAAAATTCGAATCACTTAAAATTCTGTTAAATGTGAATTATGATAAATTAAAATTCATTTAATAATAAAAATTCAAACTAGTTAATTATTTCAAATAAAAAATTGTCTATAAATAGATATTTGCTATACAACAGTAAAACTTGAAATTTAAATTCCCATTTTAAAATTTATGTAAATATAACTGACACACTAAATATATAATGCGAAAATGGTGTGAAGTAGGTTTATGGGGATTTCTTTTAAAATCCTCATGATTCTATTCAATTTAAGGCTTGTAATGAAGAAAAGTCATTTTTTTTTTTTTTTTTTTTTAAAGCTACAGGTACATAAGAAACGTGTCGATTCTTTGACATAGCGTGTGAGAGACATTATTTAAATCGGATAATCCAAAAATAAATTAGTAATCCCAGTTGTTAAATAAATCCTCGTGCGGTTTTTAACACTATAGGTGGTATAAGAAGCAGTGAAATGGGAGGGACCAAGACGATCTTTTCTTCTTGTATTTTCACTGTTGGGGAAAAAGAGTTTCCCGCCTCGTGTTTACCTCAAGGAGACAAAGTTCGACTTAAGGCGTTGAATAGACATCAGAATGACGGCTGAAAAACAGAATAGCAGAAATACTGGTGGCAAACAGATATATATATATATATATACATATATATATAGTCCTATTTTAAAGTTTTTCTTATCCTTTTCCATAAACTGAACAGAGTTATTTTAAAACTTGAAAAATATATATTTTCGATATTTTAAATTTTAGTTTACAAAAACTATTAATAATAATAGTTGGAAATTATCAACATATTATCCAATATAATTGTAAAATAATAAACTTGTTTTTGTTTATGTGAATAAAATGAACTTTGTGCGGAAAAATAAAAAATAAAAACACGCTATTCTTTCATCGAACACTTTTGAGGATAGTTCTATCAGTACCCAAAAAAATGTTAAAAATTTTTTATGTTTTATTTGTTTTTTCAATTATTTTTGAAGGTCATTCAATAAAGGTCCGTATAAAGTTTATATTTTTTATACATATATAGGGTAAATGTACTAATTATGGCGCGATTCGAGTTAAAATACCTTTGAAATAGAAAAGTCGACATTTCTATAAATTGTTTCAAGTCAATTGAAGACTTATTAAACTAAAAGCTTATGTTATTTAGATATTAAAAAAAAAAATTTAACTTTATAAAAATCGATTATTTAAACAAATATGAAAAATTAAAACTAATACCGTAATTTTCTATTATGGCGCGTTTGTATCAGTTACGGCTGTATCAATTATTTCAGTGACCAAAATTACATGTATTTTAAAGATACATTTTGCCCGCCGTAATTGAAGCGAATGGAAATGTTTAAAATGTTTTAATTACAGCGAGGGAAAAAATTTTGATCTCAAATAATTAAATTAATATAGTTTAAATGTGCATCTTTATAAGTAATTGTATCAAAAAAAGATTAAAATAATTATTTTTAAATCATTTTGCAACAGTTATATTAAATATAATAGTAAGAATATAGTTATTTTTTATGAACGCATCGTAATTGATGCACTCGCCGTAATTGGTACATTTACCCTATTTAAATAATAAAAAAATTATTAAAAAATTACACAAGTATTTTAACATGCAAAAAGAATTTTCTTTTTAGATAATGAAAAGTGAATTTATAAATGGAGTGTTTTTTGCAAAATTGAACAATTATAAAATTAAACCAAACAACAGTTTTATTGAAGAAAAAAGAAATGGTTTAATTCAATGGAAAAATGAAATGAAGAAAGAGAAAAACGTTCTTGCAGTATAAAAATTTCTTTATTATAATAAATAATAATTTTAATAATAATAATAATAATAATAATAATAAAATAGAAAAATAAATAATTTTCAGTAAAAAAAAATGTTGAGATATTTATTATTATTTTGAAAAATGAGAATATTTAATAAAAGAAAATAATTTTTTTTAGATATATCAAATAATTGATGCAAAGAATAATGAACAATTGAAGGTATCACCAAATTTGTGTACAGATATAATTATTGAATGGTATCCGTCAATGTTAAAACGATTCCTGGGAATTGAAAAATGTCCAATTGAAAGGGTAAAATAAACATTTACTTATTAATAATTTCATAATTATATATATTTACTTTTATAAAAAATGATTAAACTTAGTAACTTTAATAAAAGATAGTATAGTGCATTTTATTATTTTTCAATCAATTTATTTTTTCAAATTTTTTTTAATATAAATATGTATAATATAAAAAATTAATTTCAGGGAACCATTTCTCTTATGTCAAATGATAAGTATTCACAATCTGTAAAATTCAGTAAATATAAGTGTACAGTTCCATTTAATATAACTTTAGAATTACGTGATCAAAAACAAAAAAAATTGATAATGACATTTGATGTTCTAATAAATGAAATAAGACTTAACAGAAAAAATTGTAAATAATAAAATTATAATTTGTTGAAAATTTCTGTTGTTTTTATTACAAAAAAAAAATGTACGATAAATGATTTTTATATTATTTATTTATTTATATATATATATATTATTTACATTTATTAAAATCTATACCAAATCCCAAACCTCGAAAAATTCCCAAAAAAACAATTTTCTAAATTGACTTTTTTTCTGTATCTAAAAACCAAAAAACAATCGATAAAGTTGAAAAAAAAAATTTTTTACTATCATATTATGAAACTAACAATATTTTTAATTTTTTGCAAAAACTTTATTTTTTAAAATAATTTTATTTTTTTTTAAATAATTCTAAAGTATATGCGATAAAATAAATAGAATACAAGTAAAAAAATAAAATAATTAAAATTTCTTGAAAATTATTAACATTATATTATTATCAATAATTATAGATAATCAACCATGATAAGTTACTGAATAAAAGCAAAAAACAAAAAAAAGAACTGTATTCTTTCATTGTTTATTTTTCATTGAGAACTGTTCAACAAGCAATAAAATGTTAAAAGTTTTTTGTCTTTTATTTATTATTTCAAATTTTAATTTTCCAGTTTATTCACGTAACGTACGTAGATGAAGTTTATATATCTTTTTTTCAAACACAATAAATAATATTAGAATTAAAAATAATTAAGTATTAAATATAAATTAAAATTTTTAAATTATATTTCCCATTAAGATAATCGAATATGTACCAGTTGTTCTTCATGTAGTTCTTAATAATTATACAATTCAACCAGGAAATGATTTTATTGTAGAAAAAGATGAAAATGGTTTAATTGAATGGAAAAGAAATGTGACGACAGGACCAGATGGATTACAAGTACATATCAATATTTTTATTTAAAAAAAAAAATGAAATTTCAAATTTTAATTTTTTTATTTTATTTTTTATTTATTTAATTAATTATAATTTATTTATTTTTTTATTTATTTTTTTATATTTTTAAATATTTTATTTAATGAAAGTTTGACAAAAATTTGTTTTATTTAGATATTTTTTATTGATGAAGAGAATAAGATAGAACATAGCACAGATGATATGTGTGATACAGAACGAATGTCTTACACCTTTGGAGAAGTATTAAGGGGATTATTGGGAATTTATTTTTGTCCAATTTCGAAGGTAAAAAAAAAAAATGTTTTTCCTATTACATATATTTATATTAATAATTAAATTTTTTATTAATTAAAATTATTCAATAAAATTAATTATATAATATAAATTTTTTGCAAAATTTCAGTGGAGACTCTCTCTTATCGCTTCTGAATTCTCAATACCTAAAGAATCAAGGAAAGATGTTTGTAGTAAACCAAAAAGTGCTGTTATGAAATTGTTTTCTAAAAAAGAACACAAACTGGTTATGACTTTTCGTATGGATTTCTATGAATTAAGAGTTCATGAATGTAAAAAGTAGAAACGCTAACAAAAATTGACAGTACAGTTGAAATACTGGCACGGTACACCAGTACTGCGCCAGTAGTATACTGTAGGAAATCAAGAGTTTTTTTTATCGAATATCTAAATGCTTGTTATATGTGTTTCTTTATATTTCCAGTGACCTTGGTTTCTTTCTTTTTTTTCATTTAAACATTGTATTTCCTAGTTATTATCAATATTTTATCAATAATTATAGATAATAAACTAGTTTTTGTTATTCAATAAAATAAATTATTTGGTTGAAAAGAAAAAATTTGTTTTTATTGTAAAATAATTTAATTTTTTTTTTTTTAAATAATTTCTATAAAGTATATTTGCGATAAAATAAATAGAATACAAGTAAAAAAATAAAATAATTTAAATTTCTTGAAAATTATTAACATTTTATTATTATCAATAATTATAGATAATTAACCATGATAAGTTACTGAATCAAAGCATAAAAACAAAAAAAGAACTGTATTCTTTCATCGTTTATTATTCATTGAAAACTGTTCAGCAAGCAAAAAAATGTTAAAAGTTTTTTGTCTTTTATTTATTATTTCAAAATTTAATATTCCAGTTCATTCAGATCAGGTACGTAGATGAAGTTTTGTATTTCTTTTTTTCTAACACAATAAATAATATTAGAATTAATTAATTCTAAATATAAATTAAAATTTTTAAATTATATTTCCCATTAAGATAATCGAATATGTACCAGTTGTTCTTCATGCAGTTCTTAATAGTTATGAAATTGAACCAGAAAATGATTTTATTGTCGAAAAAGATGGAAATGGTTTAATTGAATGGAAAAGAAATGTAACAACAGGACCAGATGGATTACAAGTACATATAAATATTTTTTATTTAAAAAAATGAAATTTCAAATTTTAATTTTTTCATTTTATTTTTTATTTATTTAATTAATTAATTTATTTATTTAATTTATTTATTTTTTTATATTTCATTTTTTATTTTATATTTTTAAATATTTTTAAATATTTTGTTTAAAGAAAGTTTGACAAAAATTTGCTTTATTTAGATGTTTCTAATTGATGAAAAGGCTAAGGAAGAACATAGCATTGATGATATGTGTGATACGAAACGAAATTCTTTCACTTTTCCACAAGTGATAAGGGGATTATTGGGAATTGATTCTTGTCCAATTGCGAAGGTTAAAAAAAAATTTTTTTTTTCCTATTACATATTTACATTAATAAACAAATTTTTAAATAATTAAAATTATTCATTAAAATTAATTATAATATAAATTTTTTGATAAAATTTCAGTGGAGGCTCTCTCTTATCGCTCCTGAATTCTCAATATCTGGAAAAGCAATTAAACATATTTGTGGTAAACCAAAAAGTATTGTTTTAAAATTGTTTTCTAAAAAACAACACAAACCGGTTATGACTTTTCGTATGAATTTATATCAATTAAGAGTTCATGAATGTAAAAAGTAGAAACGCTAACAAAAATTGACAGTAGAGTTGAAATACTGGCACGGTACACCAGCACTGCGCCAGTAGTATATACTGTGTATAGGAAATCAAGAGTTTTTTTTTTATCGAATATCTAAATGCTTGTTATATGTGTTTCTTTATATTTCCAGTGACCTTGGTTTCTTTTTTTTCCATTTAAACATTGTATTTCCTAGTTATTATCAATATTTTATAAATAATTATAGATAATAAACTAGTTTTTGTTATTTAACAAAATAAATTATTTGATTGAAAAGAAAAAATTTTTTTTTATTCCTTCATCAATCACTCTTGAGTGAATAACACAGTTTTCATAAAAATATATACCAAAATGTTGAAAATTTTTTGCATTTTATTAGTTATTTCAATAATTTTTGAAGATCAATCAGTATATTCCCTTAAACCAAAAGACACTAAAGTATGTATATATTTCAATGTAAAATTTAAATATAATATATATTAAATTATTATTTAATAATAAATTTTTATTAATTTAATTATTTTTACACAACATTACTAATTATTAAAATTGTACTAATTATTATATAATTATACTAAATTTGAATTAATTAAAATTCGTTCACTTATTCAAATTAGTAGAAATCATATATACATTATTAAAAATTTTAATTTAAAAATTTATTTCCATTTTAGAAAAAGAAATACGAATTAATACCTGGAGTTTTTCATTCAAAGCTTACAAATTATAAAATTGAATCAAACAATAATATAATTGAAGACAAAGGAAATGGTTTAATTCAATGGAAATCAGAAGTAAAACAAGGAAACGATATTGGGGTATCAGTGGTTTTTTATTCTAAATAATTTTTGCTAACATTTTTTTTTTTTTTTAAATTAAATTCTTTTTTATAAAATATATTAGTGCACTAATATATTTTAAAAGAAAAGAATTTAATTTTTAAAAAAAATATATTTTACTCATATAGATATACGCTGATTTTGGTGGTGAACCATCTGAGATTGAAGATTTATGTGATTCGAAAGCTCAAACAATATTTCCAAAAATGATTAAACAATTCCTGGGCATTGAATTTTGTCCGATTAATAAGGTATATGTTGTTTTTGATAAAATTAAAAAAAAATTTTTTGGTTAATAAAAACATATATATATATATATATATATATATATAAATTTTAATTAATAAAATTTTAATTCGTAAAAAAAATATATTTCAGGATACACTTTCACTTATTACAAATGACTACTCTAGACCAGCAAAAATATTAAAGAATAGCTGTGAAAAACCAAAAGATTATACTTTGAAGCTAATATCTAAAAAAGAGAATAAATTAATTATGACCTTAAATGTAAAAACAGAGGATATAAGACTTGAACCCTGCGAGTAATTTAAGGGTGCGAGTATATAATTGTTCAAAAATCTTGCTATAGATTTTAGAAACTATCTCCAATTTAATGAATCATGTAATATTTATGAATATTGGAAATAAACTATATATGCAAAATATTTTTTAAAAAATTAATTTTTTTCCTTTACAGCTATATATTATTATATAATCCATTATTTTTATCCATCATTTATTTTATCTATTATTTTTCAAAATAAATTATTTTTTTATTTTAAATATAGATAAAAAAAAACCAGTTAAAATATAATAAAAAAAATAATACAACTTTTTTTTTTAAATAAATTTTTTCTCTTGTAAATGTTTAAAAAACAATAGCACGAAAAAATTTTTTTATCTGAAACAACGATATGTTTCTCTAGAATAGCAAAAACTTTCTCTTTTTTGATGAAACATATCGCTGTTCCAATGAAACTTATCGCTGTTTTAGATAAAGATTTTTTTTCTGTGTTTTTTAATAAAATAAATTTTTTAAATTAATATATTAACAAAGAAAAATAAAATTTTTATATGTTAAAATTTGCAGAGTTTTAATTAAAAAGGTTTATACATATATATATATATATATATATAATAAAAAATGATAAATAAAAAATTGTTTGGATTTAATATAAATGAATAAAATTAAAATTTATCTTTCAATTATATATAGAATATTCTCAAGTGTTGTATAATTTGCTAGGTTTATTATTTTTTTAAATTTGAATTGTATTTCGCGGGTTAATAAAATTGTTTCTCGCCACTCTCACTAGAGGGCCAATTCTTTGTAGTGTGTGAATGTGTGTTTGCGCATTAGAAGATTTTTTTGTCTATGATTCACATTATTGTAACCTGAAATCACGGGATCTTGGGATCAATCTTGATAATTTGCTATCTTTTAGTTATCACATTTCTAATATCGTTAATTGTGCTCTTAGGTCACTCGGATTTGTTAATAAAAAGCTTTAGCGTTTCATAACCCACGAACTCTGAAATCACGCTTTACTTTTAATTTGTTAGATCACAAATTGAAAATTGTTCTGTGTCATGGAGTCACCATATTATGCTTAATATCTTGTAAGAATCGAACGAGTTCAAAATCATTTCCTTCGATTTTTTGCTATAGACAAACTAATGTTCGTTTTGACAGATTTTCACATGAATATGACAATTTACGTTCATTGGCGAGCATATCCAGACTTGCATCTAGATTTGACTATTTTGATTTACTTTTCTTCTTTAAAATTTTAACTGGATACATTGATTGCCCTATTCTACTATCACTCATTAAATTTTCTATTCCAATACGTTATTCCAGATATTATGTACATTGAGAAAAGTTAAACACAGATTTCGTACTAAACACACGTTCAGATAGTGTATCTAACCTTTAGAGCAACGTCGGCTCTAAATTGTATCGCATAAGGCCAAAGCAGAATAGATTTTTGAACGGGAACGCAATCGTAAACGGAAACGTAAGAATGAGTGAGAGAAGAATAAATATATTTGCTATCCTTCTCTTACTCATTCTTACGTTTTCGTTTACGATTGCGTTCCCGTTCAAGAATCTATTCTGCTTAGGCCTATAGCTACGCTTTTTGATGGACAGATACTGTACTAAATCGTTTGTCCCACAAGTTAGATCAGAATCTGTACTCAATTGGCGCTGCTGCTGTTCAATTTTAGTACTGCGTTTGCACATGATTGAGGTACAATATATGTCCCTCAAAAAATGCAGATGTTGCGTTAAACTTCTCTCAGCATATCATCATACAAATTACGGAATTAACTCTACTGTCATTAATAGATTATACCCGTGCAGAAATTTGAGTTAGATTTTAATAGGGACAAATTTTAACCAGAATTATAAATAAAAAAGTTAGAAATCATAATATTACCTGAAGAAATTGGAATAATCATAGTAAAAATTAAAAATTTGCAATAATGATATTAACATAATGACAAAATTTGAGGTTAGAAAACCAATCAATATATTTTTTACTTTTAATATTCTAAATACATATTTCATGTTTGTTGGCTTAATATTAAATATTCTTAAATTGATAATATTATGTTAATATTCACTTTCTGATAAAGAAGATAAGTGATTATTTTCCATTATTAATTAACAAAAGAACAATAAAATTCAGATTCACACAAAATGATATGTGCACTTGCACCATTCATGTCATCATTCTCGACGATGGAACATCGATATATTGAAAACTTCGATACATCGATTTCGATATTTTCGATTTAAATTTAAATATTATTTTCAAATTAAATAAAAAGTGAAACTATATATATAATAATGTAATTTATTAATAATATTATTTTGATTTTATCACTCGGTGTTATTTAATAATAAATTTAATTTATTTAATAATTTTATTATTATAATTTATTATTATTAATATTTATTCTTTTTAATATTATTTCTAAAACGAACATTTTAAAAATATTTGTGTCCCTTATTGAACATAATTAAATTCATATTTTAAATAAAGAAAACATCAAAAAATAATATCTATAAAGGCGAATACGATTGCTAATGACATTGATTTTTTTAATATTAACTTAAATGCATTTAGTACAACACTGCGTAATCTATTATTTAATAATTAGTTTCTTTTTTAAATAGCAGCGTTATACATATATATATATATATATATATATATATTACACAATTTGTATTTAAATGGCACTTTATTTTTCAAGTCCCGTATATAAATAAATAAATACTACTACGATAATCATGTAACTGGTCTTTATGTAAAAATTAATTTTTGAAGGAAAATATTTATTGAGATTTTAATTTTTTCGCTGACAGAAAGAAGAGTGAGAATAAAAAATTATTTTTGGTTGGGGAAGGAGCTTGACTCTTTTCCTGGAGCGAGAAAAATCTGCGATATAGTTAATCCGAGGTAAAGAGTGTCTCTGTTTGGCACAAAACGGATTTCCCTTTTCCAAAGGCGAGAGAGGGAGAGAGTTGACGAAATCGCAGTTCGAGTCAGTGACATGAGGCGCGGAGCATCCTCTTTGCTCGTGGCCATATAGCCGCAGTGCTTGGCCTAATCCGTATTCATCAGCACATCTCTGCGGGTACTGGGTAAAGGGTTTTGTTAAGCCGGCTGATCCGCGTTCAGCCAAGAGAAAGACAGAGAAAGGATGAAAAGGGAGGTCTCTGGTTCCGCCCCTGCAGTTCTAGGGCATCTTTAGTAGAGGTCTACATGAATCCACTTTGAAAACATGGTGGTTGTATTTCCATTCAACGAAGTAGCCATAAACTCAAAACTCTATTATCACCAAAAATCAATTTTTTTTTTTTGACTTATTTAATTATAAATAAAAATTACAAATAAAGGAATATTTATTTTAGATACAATTAAAAAATATTTTTTAATAAAAATGGAAAAATTAAAGTAAAATTCATATTTAAAGTGCAAAAAAATGTTTAAAACAATGAATTCACGTGAAACTTAATTAATAAAGTGCTCTGTTAATAGAAGGATAATGTAATATGTCCATCGAATATGTCTTTGCAAAATATACTTGACATAAAGGCAAACAAAATTATTCCATTTAGTTATAATTATTTAGTTTTTTTTTTCGATAAATAATGAATGAAATGCTGAATTAAGGTCATATTATAAGTTTTACATTATATGTACATTAAAAGCTTAAGCTTTTTTTATCTATATACATTAGACGAGATAAATCAAGTTATTTATTTAAGTATATATATATAAAATTTCAATTGTCATTCAGTGAATTTTAAAACATTTTTAAAATAATTTATAATTAATGCAATCCTTTTTTTAAATACAAAAAATAATGACAAATTTTTGTGTTGGATTTTATTTGAAAAACAATTATAGAAGATTATTTAAGGGAATTTAGATATAAATTTTATATAGTATAAAATATAAATATAAATATATATATAGTATGATGTTAAGTTTTTAATAAAGTAGATCCATATTTTAGCTTCATTATTTTTTATTATTATTAACATAAAGCCTTTCGCCTAAAAATATTAGGCCTCTTCAAATGAATAAAAGTTATGGTTTTTTGTCGCTACAATAAAATGTAATATAAAATTAAAATGTGATGTATAAATAAAAAAAAATTAATTTTTAAATGCAACGTACGAATTTAAAATTTTTACAAACATAACCTCAACTTATCACATGGATTCTTTCCTTAATTTTAATCCTTTTGATCCTAAAATTTTATTCCGAATCAATTCTATTATGGCTTAGAAACGGATTTGGATTAGAAATGAAATTTCATAATTTGAAAGAATTAAAATTTAGCTTAGAATTGATTCGGAATGAAATTTCAGGATTTAAAATGAATTAAAATTAAGCTTTTAAATGAAACAAATTGATTTGAAATGATCCGGAAAGAATTTTGATATTTTTAATATCCAAGTTTTCACTTATTGTATTTTTATATTCACACATAATATATATATATATATATAAATTGAAAGAATAAAAACCCCAAGAACTTGGAATTCGATTGTGCGCGTATAAGATTCATTCATATACGAGTGGAATATATTGTCGCATTCCAGTCGTCGCCAGCAAGTCCCTTATTACAAGCGTCTTCCACACTCAAATATGTATATACTTAAAATGAACCATGTCCACAATGTCTTGAAATTTTTATGTCTTTCTTTATGTTCAACATTTTTTATGCTATATATAAAAAAATTGACATATATTAGAGAGATTATTTCAAATTTTGTTATCTAAAAATCTTCAATGTCATATATACAATAAATATATTTAAAATACATTTTTCTTGATTTTTCAAAACTTTTTTCCTTCTTTTTTTTTCTTGTGATCTTGTCCCATGCGGTAAAACTATTTCTACTTTTCTCTTGGTGGGACTTTAATCTTGAGATATGAGCACATATTATATATATATATATATATATATATATATATATATATATATATATATATATATATATATATATATATATATATATGAAATTGTGCATTGCAAAGATGTATGTATATAAAAGAGAGAAGAGAAAATGGTATTAAAGATATATATACAACAAATATATATACGAATGTGAGATAAATAGTAGTGAATGAGAATGGTGTGT